ATAATAAATATGGCCAAAGCTTACCAAGAACCTTTCGGATAAGATGGGACTTTCCCGTGCCAGCACCACCAGTGCAAAAAACGTTGGACCCACGTTTTATCAGTTCAATAACGAACATCTGCTCTGACTCTTTTGGACCACCAGACAGCCCTGATGAAGGCTTATTATGCCAGGATGAGAGGATGTGGCTAAAGGTCCTATCCGGACGGCACTCCAATTTTCGAGTTGCAACGCTAGAAGGCGGTTTAGCGTCGCGAATAGGAGTTGAGTTGAGGGTTCTGCAAGAGGGTTTAAAGAACGGCGGTGATGATGGAACGTTTCCTAAAAATTACAAGCATATAAATAATGAAGTACGTAAAAAGTCGAGAAAAATATTGTGCTAACTTTCCAGTAAGATCAAGCATCCAATTAGCAGCACAACTTCGAAGAATTTTGTCCTATTTTTCTCAAACATGGTCTGCCCTCAGTATAATTACCCAACATAGCCTCCCCAGTTCCAAAAGTTGATGCTAACTGCACAGGAACCTGTTAATCCCGTTAGGTAGGAACTTACGTCATGTCTGAGGTCACGTATTTACTACATCATTTAGTGGTCGACACTACCGTCCAATTTACCTACTTATGGTTTACAGTTAAAGTACTCGTTAGAGCTGGCGGACAAGGCGAAGGTCGACTAGAGATACAATAATCAGGGGTCTGCAGTCCAAATTTCCCACCGGGTGCTGCTGCTGCGACCTAGGGATTCTGGTCTCCGTTTAGGCTCGGTGAAACATTTCCCCCTAAGTGATTTGTCCCCATTCCTGCTGAAGTTCCGAAATTGGTCTAGGTGTACCGGCATGTAGGGAATAACAGAAATAAATTGTCATCGACGGTTTGGGCAACGCACAATACCGATGGATCGGATGCGACGGCTGCTGAAATGGAATAATTCGAAATATTCATTTTCAGTTTGTCCCAAATCTACTTCCTGGCCCGTAAGAATGCCTGCAGTTGGTTGAGCCATAACGGAAAGTGTAGAAGTGGTACAAACATTACTTCAGAGACGACCAAATCTCTCTTTTTTCAAGGGGCGAAATTCTTCAATAGAACTGTAAGTGTTTGGAACAGGCCTATTGTTTGCTATACATCAGAATGGAATTTCCGACATTTCTTTATTTGCCATTGTACAGTGATAGCCCTATTAATGCTGCAGTCCCATTCGTTAATGAAAACAACAATCCAGGAATGGTATTGACTAAAAACACGCCTAAGCTAACGAAGCCTAGAAAATGCAGGGCCATTAAAAAATACATGATAAACTCGTCTTAGCCACGACGCGATTATCGCAAGCCACGCATTTTGGCAAGTAATGATTTTTAGCCCAAACAGATCAGAAAGGAAAAAAGAGAAAACACGTTTCCAGAAATGCATCTCCATAGGGCAAGGATTTGCTACATTATTTCATGGGCAAAAACTGCACCAGGCAAATATCGTTCAAATTGAGTTCATGTACAGAACAGACTCTTTGGCAGACCATGGCGTAGACGAGATGGCCATTTCCCACCCACTTCGAAAGGTTTCCAGGCGCCGGAAAAGGTAACTTCATGTTGAAACGGCTGGAAAACACTGCATGACAAACTTATGCAAACCAATGGCTGCGGCCTTCGTAACCCACAAGCATATCGCAGCCATTTGAGGAAATTCATGGGTGTGTGGACGACACATATAGAACTCCTAGAGGAGGTCAACACGACGACCCATGTTCGTCGGGCACGTTAGAACAGGCTGAAATTGTGTTCGTCCGCCTCCATTAAAATAAACCTCATCCTGAAAATTTATGCAATTGACATCTAACAAATGCACCTCGTTTCACATATGGTCAAGGGATATACAGTTACAGAGTTGGCAATCAGGAATGGCTGCCGAAATAAGAACCAAATAAGCCAAACAAGCAACAGATGAGTGGACACTGTTCAACATATGAGTGTGGCAAGCTCATTCATCTACGAAACAATCATATACGTTGCTCTGTGAATTCGGGACACTCCTTGTACTGGCTGTCAGCGCAAATCCGGTCGCCCACAAATTCTCACGTCTCGCCCAGAGTTCAGTAGACTACAGAAGTGCATGTTATTCTTGTTGAAAGTCTAAATTCTGTTGGTGGCAGTCACGATAACAGAAGTCGGGCAGGAAAATTTAAGGCTGTGGATTTTCAGGAAGTAAACATTTTTACCATAATGAGTATTTTAACCTAAATATAACAGCTTATAAATCGCAATTTTGTATTTTTCAAGGTCTAAATGGGTAATAAAAAACAAGGACTTAGCATAGACGAACTAGCAAAAAATTCGGAGTTGCGTAATGCAAAGGCAAAATATTGCAGTTGATTACAAAAGGGAAACGTGCGGACGGGAAAGAAAACATAAGATCAAACAATACCTCCAATAACCTTCCTCTGTCTGCAAACTGGCGATATGCCGACATTTTTGAAGTGATTAACGACGGGACCTGAGTTACATTTCGCCGGAGGCACTATTCTAAGCGGACTCAGCTCATCAAGAAGAGATAAGGATGTGTTCGGAACGTCGACAGGAAGTTTTTTATAGGACTTCTTGACCTTTGAAAATTCTTTGTACTGAGCACGAAGGTTACAGAGGAAAATTCTTAGAGCATCTGGAGGGCAATTTTTCAGCATAATGTTCACTCCGGTCTCAGGTAAAGAAATTGTAGATTTCCCCTGTTTCAGAAATTTTCTATGGAGCGTGGGTTCTGAGACACTATAGCCCACACTTTTAGTTTCCTTTCTGGCAGATGGCTCAATGGGAGTGATTCGGATAACCAATTGGCGAGAATCAGTTTTCACAAGAGAGACGCGTGCCTTCCGGAAATTCCTTTGTCTTTTAACCGGTCCGTGCATTGAGGCCAGCTCTTCAGCGCAAACCGAGCAGACTAGGTACACCCCCATAGTGTAGGCACAAAAGTTGTAACTGCTCACCAAAAGATGCAGTAGAAGGGCATCGTAGAGGCTATTTCTTTGTGCATGAATGGGGATATAGGAGACAGATGCCGATGTTTCACATGTGTTTTCATCATTTGTTAACGCACTGAATAGGACCAGGAAAAGGTGCCCACTGGGAGAGATGGAGTTCTCGAGATTCCTCTATTGTAACCTTCGTTGTGGCGTTTTCTCAATTCGAACTGTGGGATTGGTCCCCATATAAGAGCTTTCGTAGTAGTGTCCGTTGACTTCAACAGTCGCAACAAGCAGTAACGTCAATTAAACCGGTCAACCCTCAAGTGTGCAGTTTTATCAGAGATATCTGGGAGGGGAAGGCAGTACCGGGGAGACGAATAAACAATCGTAAATAAAAATCCTTGTCAAATTCAGACGATGGGTTCAGTCGCGCGCAATCGTGGACATAGAACGGGAGGCATCTATTGGGTGCCGGACTCGGTATCCCTCACAGTCACTGCAGAACAAATGAAAGACACAAAGACCACGTTAAGCCTTTAAAAAAAACTAGGGTGAGGCCAAAGAAGTTATAGAAGAGGCGACAGAGCATTGTGTGATCCAAGCATTCTTTGATTTAAAGGTCACGTATTGTGCCGAGAGATCTACGTAAAAAGTTCCCCAAGTGAAAATGTGTTTCTAGAGTCGCAGACCAAAGTAAAGCCACGTCATTGTTAAATTTCTGGAAATTATTTAAGTTAAGACCTTTTCTACTAATGAAGTGTAGATGAGGCGTCAAGGAAGATGGGAACGGGTACAACAAAAAGAAGTAATAAGCTCTCGCAATGAGAGTGAGAAACAAGGACCAGTCTCTGGGGATGTTTCTTTCTTTAATAGTACCATAACCGGTTACATTCCCGTCGTGTCCCATCTAAGCCAACGACAAATCCGAGATCCTCTGAGGAATCTAGAATTGTGTTAATGTAGTACTCTACAAGAAATTAAACGCGAGAGTTGGCTAATGTAGACACAAAAAATACGTTTCCTTACGCACCACTGAGGCGGTGAAATCGAACACCACAGTAGCCTCTGTAGAGTATGCTCTGCAAGACTGCAGGCTTATGAATTGTCTGTCAATCTGATCCGCGGTTGATCAGTCGCCCCTCAGAGTTCATGGATGCTAACGATAGGTTAGTGAACTCTGATTTACTCAAGCAGCTGGTATGCGGACTTATTATACCAACACATCCAGCCGGGTTTCTTACTTTTTCTATCTTCGGGGTTAGCATGCCGACGGCTTTATAAAGCGCATATTCTGTGAGCTTTTTGAGAATATATTGATTGACATAAAATTCATGGGCAAGAAGTCGGAAGAAGGCCTCGGTTGGTCCGGCTATTGCGAGGTCATTGCAGGTGCGTTTACTAAATATCTTCCTAAAATCTTACGCAGAAATCTTTGTTAAGTGGGTTAGGGGGGACGGACCTCTACGATCGTAGAAGTCCCTCTTTACCAGGAGTCTCAAAAGATCTTTTGACGTCTTAAGAAAAAAACATCGGATAAATGCAGCAGGCGTTAATTTAAAACTTAGTCACCTATGTTCCATATGTATTTTTTAATTTGCAGACGGTCAAACCGAGCCGTCTATATCAACCCAGATCCAAGGACACTCCATGCACAATCCTGTTGTGGTTATTATAGATTAATCCACAACAATGAAGTCGTGTCCGAATGTAAAAATTAGCAGTACAACTAATTTCAGGATTATTCATTCCAAGTATAGGACACATATAAACGAACTTTTCAAAAAGTACCTCTTCGTCGTCCCTAGACTGTCCGCGATTTTTAAAGCTATCGGGGGAGGTGAGTACGCGATTAAACAAGGTTCCTGTAGAAGGGAAAAAACAGCAAAATGAGACACGTTTTGCTAAAATATAAGAAGCGCATGTTAGATTTTCGTTTGTTCTGTACAATGCTGGGATCCATTTTTGCTGAAGTAACCGTTGTAACGCCCCTTGACACGAACAGAATTGTATGAAAGTCGTGACACTTTTGGCGCGCGGACCTGGGATGGAGATGGCGTAACTGTGTGCTGGCGAAGACGGCCGGTGTCCCTTCCTCTCGCTTCCGCCGACCCCCCTCCCGCAACGAACCGTCGCTCTCTCACTCAACGTCGGCTCCCCCTCGGCCCTTCCCTGCAGCTGTCCACAGCGCTGCATCCCCACCGGCTGTTTAGCTAGTATCTCAGGATCGTCTATCCATCTAGGCAGGTCACCTTTCCGCTGTTCCTCGTTGCACGTGTACATTAACATTTGTTATATACATTCTCCATATCATGTTGTTCCATTGCACTATATCCATACTCGACGTACTCTCTTCTTCAGCGTGTGAACAAGTTTCGAGTGATGTTAACAGTTCTGTTAAAGTCTACCTCCGACAGGATTTCTCCTCGGCCTTTTCTTATTCTGGTGTGTGCTTTCCTTGTCGTTCTCGGCCGCTACACCGTATCTCGGCATGTCCTGTCGCCCGGCGTCTACAAAGTGGCCAATGCCAATATCACGTCTCGTCAGGTTGTTATTATCGCGAAGTCGACTCGATGTCAACACGCTGACAAGGTGGCACGGCTTACAGTGCTTACTTGTCTACCTAGGGCTTATGATAACAATTTCGGGGCCTGCATTAACTGAAATGTCCAAAATTAAATATACAAAATCATGTCGATGTTTCATACGTGTATATTTACGTTGGTGAAAATATTTCTAACCCAGAAGTCTTCGATCCTCTTGCATAATCGATTTTTCAGTGTCTTGATAGCTCTGTACCTAATTATTGTCAAATCATATGGTTTCACCTCCCCGTACGCTTTGATGGTTGCCTCAGCCCATACGGTCTCCCCTTCCACTGGACACTAAGCAGGCTGTGACCGGCCGCGTCTGACCTTCTCTCGTCTCGCCACTTTGGCGCTGACAGCCTCCTCCAGTCTAGGAATTCTGCCTTCTAAATCCTTTATACACTACCATATGCCAGCCAGTCCCGTCCGGCCCGCATATTCCCTCTCCTATGAGCGACAGATATTTGCTCCTATCAAGCCGGAGAAACAACAGAGCATTTCACTTTTTCTAAAGAAGAATTCTTTCATTGCTCTCTGACCGTTTTTAATATCTAGCTGCTTATTCTATTAGTACGAACTGAGTACTACGGAGCCCGTCTACGTGTCCTAAAATTCACTGAAAAATCTATTTTTACTTGCCATGACGGTACCCCGAGTGCACTGAATAAAACAATTTATCTATTTATTGTGTTAGGCTGTGGCTAGTTTTGTAACTAACCGGCTCTCGCCAGCGTCTCTCAGGCGGATCACATTTATCTCAGGAGTAGCGACAAATACATATCAAGCGCGCCTGAAGTATTGGCAAGCTACACAGAGGGCCACCGTTTTGATAGAGGGCTTGCCGTGTGCAGTGCTCTGCGGTGTAGCTAGAATGGCCGTTCCAGCCTTAATTGTCTTTGTCGACAACAACTTCTACCTATATCATGTGCCGTTGCACGGCTGCTGGTAGGGCTCGAAAAAGAGACTGCAAGGCACAGCGGGATCAGTGAGTTTCATGGGACGATCGGTGAGGAGAACCAATGGTACGCGGACCGCAGGTAATGGAAGAACTTCTTCGTCGCAATCTAAGCTGTCTACGGTTCGCCAAACAAAGGAACTGCTCCTCTCATCAGCTCCGACGGCGGCACCCTACTCACTGGGAAAACACAAATTCTACAGCGTCTGCAGATCAACTCAGTAAACTGGGAAGACCTCGCCCGGGACTTACATATGGGGAGGACAACAGTGAAAACAGGCGTAGCAATGTTCGAAGCCAACCGCATTTCCACCGCCAAAGCCAGGCGTGAATCACGCAAATCTCAACTGGCGCCACTGCCGCTGTCTCACAACGCCAAAGCCCAACCACCTCCAACGTACTTACGATGCCAACGGATATTCCGGTCGCCATTTAGACGTATTGGACACCTTCGGTCCAACTGGAGCACCCGAACTGTGTCAACCCTCGTCTTCCGGTCCACCTCCTCCTCGCCTTCCACGCCGTCAACGAACGTGGACCATCCTCTCGGACCACCATTTCCTCCCTTCTCCTCCTCCACTGCCTCAAAGTCCGCCGCTATGATGCCTGCCATGCTCATCAACACTGCACACAATCCTGACACACAAACAAACACCATCACCCTCAACACCAACGAAAAGGATCGGGTCTACGCCTGTCCAAATTGCGATCGCACCTCCACCACACACATCGGACTGGTAGGTCACTTACGAATCCATCGCACAGAGCCTGGCGATTCAGCTCTTGGGGCACCAACCTACACCCGTTGCATCCGCCTCCACTGTTCACTCTGCCCACACGCATTCATGCACGCATGGGCCTATTAGGCCACATGCGTATCCACGAGAGCGGAACTGACCACAGCAGCGACACACCTAGCACATCCACAACACCCACCATGCTCAGCGCCGCCACATTCCGCCACCCAGCGCTCCCACCGCCACCAGTTTTATCGCACTCAGTACATTTTGCGCACCCAACATGCTCAGCTAAACCCAAATCCCGTCGGCCAGCGCACTCACCACCAGCTCCACCACCACAATCATCGAAGCTGATACTGACACCGTCGGCATTTCCTGTCCGCACTGTCCTCGTACATTCACCCCACACCTCGGCCTGATCGCCCAGTTGCGAGTCCATCGCACATCAACATCACCCACCGCAAGCACCCAACTGCCACCTCCCACGCAAGTGGGAAGTGTGCACCTTGACCTCTTCTCCATGCGGCTCCCCTGCTGCATGTGTGATCGCAGTCTGAGACGAAGATGGTGCGTTGAGCGTCGGGGCTCGGAAGGCAGCCGACTGACGCCCGGACTCAGTCCACGCAGTCTGCCCAGTTGTGTGCGTTTGTGCGGAGTGGCGGACTGGTGGGCCGAGAGCCAGGTTGTCACGGCCCCTTCTCAAGCGATCTGCAACACTCTCATGCATGTGAGGAGAGTGTGTGTGCTTTATGGGTAGTGCCTCTCAATCGACCACTGTTTGTTTACCCAACCTTGAAGGGTGACAACTCATGCTAAATGCAGGACCACGCGTCGTCCTTCTAGGTCTAAAAGCGTTTGTTATGCCAGTATCAGCAAACCATGGCAATTGCAGTCAGGTATGCGCTGGCAGTCCCCTGACATCTGGTCCCCTTTCGGCAGATGCGCTTGCGCTCTCGTTGGGTATACAGGTGGTGGGCATGGCTGCTCAGTCATAATTGTCCTTCTGACCCCTGCTGGGGTGTTTTTGTTTTTGTTGTTGTTGTTGTTGCTGCTGCTGCTGGTGTTGATCAAAAACCTGGTCATTTGCTGTGTAGACCAGGCGGTGTGGAGTGGAACACCAAGGTGCGGGCTCGGCCGTGCCCTCTACCTGCGCCCTCCCCGCCTTCGGTCTTCTTGACTATGTCTTGACACCGGGTCCAGGTGGGCGAAGGGGAGAGAATGCGGTAGATGCTTCACAATCCTACTATAATTATAAACTAATTGACGCGCAAGTCACCGTGCCTGCTACACGTTGGTGTATAGCACACGGTGGATATTGTCGAACTCGACGGTCGAACTGTCATGGGTGCTGTTCGTGCAGACTGTGCCGCTCCAGCTAGTTAGATGAGCATCTACAAAATAACACCGACATTGAAGCTGTTAGTGAACTTCCATCTGTGTAACATCACCTCAATCTTTTACTCGCTTCTGCACAGCTGCCTGTCTCTATCTGCGAAATTCATCCGCTGTAATTGGGCTGAACCGCACTGCACATGTTAGATCACTAAATCGCAAAGAATCACGTCTCTTCACCCACTTCGCCACAATGGCGTCTAGCGAATCTGAGAAACAACTGCAGCTCAAAATGGGAAATCACCCCTAATTAGTTAAAAATATTGTGTGTAATTTGCCTGAATTTACACGTCGGCTAAAACAACCGAGACACCTATTGCCCAGATCTTTCTAGCGCAGCTCGCACGTTAATCTGTAGCAGGGCACCCAGAATAGTTTTTTTCAGCGACGCAGGGAAACAATAGTTTCTTGGGGGCTGCATAATCGAGAGGTGTCTATCGTTATTTCTCTTTCATTTCAGTGTGCTTGGGTGAGATCGTATGCAATAACAATCCGGGACAAGGAGAAAGGACTATTAGGTCTAGTGTGATTGATCGTGGCGTTAAATAAGCGTTTATCTGCCATTGCACTCATCTTCCTTCTCACCGGCATAACTGTTGCGGAATCTGATCAGATTTTGCCTATTCTTCAGGTGCAAATCAGACTTATTGGCAAACATTCAAGGAAACCACGACCTCGACCTGAAGCAGACTTAGTTATGCTTACGTACATAGGCCAGTTGTCGTTCCACCGCGTGTCTCTCAGGGCGATATTATATGTTCCCACAGGCTATGACATGACTTTCGCCCCAGGCAGGATATTCCATGACTCGACCATCAAGGTCGAGAAAAAATACCCTGACATTCAACTCAGATTGTAACTGCGTGTACCAGGGACGTAATCTTCGTTTCCAAGGTGCTCGCCTTTTAACAGTCGTAGTCATCGGTCGGGCAACCATACTGATCAGCGATGATTTTTTCGAAAATTGGCTCCATCAGCAACAATACGAACAAGCTTCCAGAGCCCGGCGTTATCTGAGAACGCAGAACACTCGCAGTTTAATTCCTCCACAAGATCATTAAGGAACTAGATGAAGATGGTCGGATCAAGCACCGAAACTTGTGGAACCAACGATCACTGAAGGCACACCTTAGTTGTTGCTGCCAACGAGGATATTTTCCACCTCTTTGGGAAGGTTGTCTCAGATACTCATGACTGTCAAATTGTAGAGGAGTTGATCATGAGAGACACCATCGAAAACCATTCTTAAATCAGTGTTGGAGGCATGAACCCCGTATCTCTCATCAAGTGCTCTAATCCATGTTGCACTATGTAGAGTAACTTCGTTACCCGCGAGCCTCCATTACGAAAGCTGCATGGGCATTGACTTTTAATATTTTAGATAGCACACCATTTCCCCTTTGATGGCCTTCACCATAGCCTTGCAGCAGAGTGGGGTCAGGTTGATGTTTCACTAGCTGTTCGCAAATTCACGACTGCCACGTTTGTCAATGGGTGTAACGCGCACTATTTTCCAGTCTGTAGGAAGAATTCCAGTATCGATCGATTCTTGGAACAAAAGGGACAAGGATTTAGCCGGTAATCGGAGATGGCTCGGAGGGGAGTTTGCTGAAATTTCAGTTGGATCAGGAGATGTACCTACTGTCAAAGATGGCATTTCTTTAGAAATTTCTTTTCCACGAAAACCAAATGTTTTAACTGTTGAAGTTCTGATGTTCTCATGGCTACATGAGCCAAAATACGCTTTCGTTCGGCAGGCAGACTGTGAGAACTGAATGTTGCATGATCAACCAAGCTCTAAATTCCTCCAAACATGGCCTTTTGCCCGACCGCTTCCGTAAAACTTTTCATACACCTTTCGTGAATGTATATAATTCTCTCTGTAATGACCATCTACTAGTGGTCGCCATCTCTTTTGATCTGAGTAAAACCATTGATAAAGTGTTAAATAGACTACGCTTAGATAAACCGAGGAACGTAGGACTTCGTAGTTCCCTGACTGACTTCATACGTCATACCTATCTAGTCGGAAATAAAAGGCCATAGTGAGATCCTCATTATCCAATGAGACCTCCATTGTAGACTGTCTTCCAAGTCACCGTGTAAGGTCGTCTTTTGTTTTCACACCACTCTTTCCAAAAAACACCAAGCTTAGAATTTTTTGATATTATTAAAAGTATCGTGTGCGAAAGGACAAATCGCCGACGGAAGTGACAAAATGCGACAACCGTACCTAATACAATTTCCAAATTCTACTGTACATCTGACCGCTAACACAGAGCGTTGATGTCTATGACCTCTGTATTTTTCTAACTGATTCAGTCAGAACTTTGGTTGAACAGGGCCCTCGGTGCGCTTGAAAATAAAAGTACTATCATTAGAAACGTAAGCTTTGTTTGCATCGACCGATATCTCCGGAACCTCACCATTCCCCACAACATACACCGGATTTCTGCTGTCTCCATTTCGTTGTAAGTAGCTGTAAGGCACGTTGGGACTTATGACAACTCAGTGGAGCAAAGTACTCTCGAAATCTCTCTCGTCTTTCGAAAATGAAACCCTTACTGCACTCCGCAAGGCTTGCCTTACGTTGATTTAGCAAAACCTGTTCCACAACCTCCCTTTCCTATCGGTCTCACAGCTCAAGTGGATATAGGTAATATACCTCACTTATATTGTTGGGAGCTGTTGTGAAGACGAGATCAAACAAGCTAGCCTGGTGTAGTCCATGTGCTCTTGCTGGAGATAGGAATTGCTGTGTAAGGGGCGCTTCAAGGCCTGTCGTTGGAAGGCATTGGTCGAAGGCCAACTTTTGACATTTAGTTTGCATATCATTCACTTGAAGGTAAGGTGAACGGAAATCCCCCTGGGGACAATATTAAATCTACTACCGAATTCCTCTCTTGTTCTACGGAAGGCAAGTTTCAGCGTCCTCAACCGTCTCCTGTGCCCGGTAGATAGTCAAGGCCTAAGGGGTCTGAAAACCCCTTACCTTTGTAGCCCACCAGGCGATGTCCGTATCGTCAGGAATCTTTTCGGTCTTCTGAGGCACAGTTAGATTCTTCTTTATGTACATGACTTTTCGTCCGCCCCAGTGGTCCCTTCTGTCTCGAAGTATATAATATCTCGTTAGTCTCCCTCAGTCAGTCGTGGAGGCTACATCCCTGCAACTCTTCAAGAAACGCTTGGATGATTATTTGTGTCCCCTGTTTTCCCTCGACGGTCTGAATCCGAACTAATACCCCTGGTCCCCACAAATATTTTCTCTGATACAATGCTACTCAAATGAACCAAGTACTGTTTTAATTGTTAATATTTTTTGTTCGTGTACAGTTATTTCTAACGAGCTGACATGTAATCAATAGGGTTTTCAAAGGCTTTGCCTATTGTCCTTACCAAATAAACTGAAATAAACTGCTATTTCACACTTACTGAAGACCTAGAACCGTCACAGTTTCACTATCTTAATAACGTATGGTGA